CATTAATTATTTGAAATTCTTTATAAACAATTCAAACATATTTGTTGATATTATTATAAAAAGCCACGATTTTAAGCATTTCAAAATTCTAAATTTAATCCCTTCAATGATTTGCATTGAATGATATTCTTTTGCAATCATCTTGAATTCAATTCATTCAATTGTGCATCTATTTCAGCAATTTGGCGCATGGGTGAAGGATAAGTATTTTGCAAATAATTAATGATAACATTAGAATTATTTTTCATTGTATTAGATGGACTTGAATCTCATATACCAGCTTCTGAAGTTTTTAACGCAAAACTATTATCCGACGCATTGCCGGATAAATCGATATAGCGGGGTGTTTTCTTTTAAATGCCTTATTAAATTTCCAGTATTAGAAGATTAAATGCTTAAAAAATCCGCACAATAATTACATTTTGCTTTATTATCTTTTAAGGAAAATGATTCCAGATAGTACTGGTTTCACGTCTCATTGCCATTTTTCTAATCAATTGCAATCACTGATTTTGTTATACACAGAATATACACCTTAACACAAAAGTTTATTGTTCGATTGCTTGGTAACTTGCAAAATATTGTTAAAACTATTGCTATCGTCGGGAAGGCTAAGATAGAACTGATGTCGAAAACGGAATCCTACTAACAATTAGCTGGTAATTTTTTGCTATAAAAAGTCCACTAGGCATCTAATATATAAATATCAATAAAATAATTGTTCTAAAAAATTCACAAATAAATGACGGATTGTCAAATTTTTCGGTCGACCAGATGACCGACTCAGTGACTCGTAATTTTAGCAGTGTTACCAAAATAAAAACGCAAAATTTGAGAATCAAAATCTATTTAATTATTTCCTTCTGATGAGAAAATTGATATTTTGGATTAATTTTATATAAAAAATATGTAGTAAACATTGTAATAAAAGCAAATATAATACTTCTGCTTTCTAAATTTTTCTTCTACTATTTCCATTCAAGAATTAATATTATATCAGGTAGTTCGATTACCATATTATCACTTTTAAACAATTATATAATTGTATAAAAAAATATTTTAATACTAAATATTTTTGCTGCTTAAATACTATTGATATCACTAATAAATTTTGCACTCTAAAGTGTTATTTCAGGCTATGGAAAAACCAGATTAAATATATTTTGTTTCGTATATTTTTTGGATTGCCGTCATTCACTGCCAAAGATTGTCGTAGTTAGAAATATGATCCCTTACTATTCAATAAATTATACATTTGAGCTATTCACACTTGAACACAATTTCATTGTTCTGTATCTGTGAAGTAACTTTTTGTATTTTCTGGAAAATACACAATGGTATTATTTTTGAGTTTTATACCTAAAAGGTCATAAAACTGCCTGTGTGACGATAAAGCGACCGCATCCTTTCCGAAGCAAAAACGCCAAAAACAGTAAATGTCTGCACGAGTTAACAGATTTAATACTATTTTAGGAATGTCGGATATGACAAATCCTGTGAAACGACTCCACTCGGATTCACTCCGAGGGAGGAGTTGTATCGGAGTGATAACTCCGGAGTGAGTTACCCATCTCTAATATATACACATAATACGTATATATAAATATATACATACGGACATGCACACATGTGTACACAAACATATATATACATATATATATATATATATATATATATATATATATATATATATATATATATACATATATATATATATATATATATATATATATATATATAGACAATACAGACACATACACATATATAAACAACAAAGCTAACTTACATAAATATGGTCTTACATCAGTAGCTAGCGCATGGCACATAATTTTGCACTATCATATATACACTAACTTGTTTTTTGTTTTTGTTGAACATAGTATAGCAAAATATTTGTGAAATATATAATATATTTAGCACGGAGAAAGTTGTTTGTACAAGCGTTTCCGAGGCAGTAATAACACATGTGTTTAAAATATATTTGAAGAGACCGTTTGAGGAATAGTTGGCGAGTTTTTTTACAATCAGTGTTTCGAAGTATGGTTGAAGAGGCTAAGAATCAAGGTTCGGGATCGGACCGCGTAAGTGTAGGTTTACAGGTTCGGAATTACGCTAGTTAAGAGGAAACAAATTTGGAAATATTATTAAGTATCACCTGATAATTTTCACAGAGTAAGGAGGCATCACACCGTTTATTGATGCCGATTAGACAGGATTCAGCAAACCTTTTCTGAATAATGTTCTGTTCGTGATAAAGTATACTAGCGTTGTAAATGTTAAAAGAATGTTTAAAATTTTTTATATGTTCTGTTATTATGATTTGATTTTGTCGAGGATTTTTTTGAGTTATTATCATGTTGTTTTAGTCGTTTTATTAAATTCTGTCTAGTTTCACCTATGTAAATGGAATCACAATCATTGCATTTTAATTTATAGACAATATTTGATGTGCGTTCTAAACTAGTGGGTGATTTGAGGTTGGAAAAAAGAGAGCTGAGGGTTAAGTCTATGTTGCAAATTAATCTTAAGTCGACCTTGTGAAACAGTTTTTTCCAAATGGGAAAGTTCTTTAATAAACGGGAGACAAACATTGCCAATAATGTTATTGTCTTTGGAGATTTTGGTTGAAGAAGAAGAGATATTAATGTTATTATTGAGAAATTCGAGTCTATTGTTTGTGACAGAGTTTATGAGATTAGAAGGATAAGAGTTATTAATAAGTGTTGTATGGATTAACGATAAATTAGCAGACCAAAATTGTTTGTTCGAGAGAAGTATGGCGTGGTCAACTAAATTAATTATAGTACTTATTTTCATGCTAGAGTGGTGATAGGGATGAAAATTTAAATATCTGCCCGACTAAGTAGGTTTTTGGTACCAACTTGTGATGATACGGTTATTTAAGGTTTTTATAATTTTGACGTCAAGAAAGCTGATGGAATTGTTTTGTTCTTTTTCGAAAGTGAAGGAGAGATGTTCATTGAAAGAGTTGAAATTGTGGAGTAAAAGTTCAAAGTTTTTAACCGGCACATAAGTAAAAATGTCATCCACGTAGCTGTAATAAAATTGAAGATCTAATTTGCAAGAATTAAACACTTTTGTTGTCTAAATATTGTAAAGATAACTCAGCGAGTGTTGGAGATATAGAAGAACCCATAGGTGTGCCAAAAATTTGGAAATAGAAACGGTCGTTGTATTCAAAATAGGTGAAATTATAAATTTTATTGACTCAAGATACCAGTGTAATGAAATAGTTGTATGACATGAAATTTCGTCCCATCTAGCTGTGATAGCGTCTAAAATTAATTGTACGGGAACGTTAGTGAAGAGGGATACCACGTCTAGACTATGTATATATATATATATATATATATATATATATATATGTATATGTGTACGTGTTTGTACATGTATATCATATATATATATATGTTTGTTTATGTGTATATTTATGTATATATATTGCGCTTTTGTATGTGTGTATATATTTCTTTTTACTTTTCATTTCTCTTGTTTATCTATCTGTTTAGTTATAATTGTTACTGTTATAATTATATTACTCATATCTATAGTTCTTTTTCCAATTTCTGTCATTTTTTCCTAGTTTATATTAATTTTTCAATGTTCATTCTGTAGATTCACTGATGATGACATAAAATCCTATGTCGAAACGTTTGAAAAAATTAAAGATTAACTTCTAAATCTTTGCCTTTTATTTGATGTATGCCCTTGAAGAACTTACTCATATACATGTATATATACATATATAAATACATACGTATATATATATATATATATATATATATATATATATATATATATATATATATATATATATATATATATACGTACATATAACATACATATATGTACATACATATATACACATACATATACATAAACATACACAAGTATATATATATACATACATACACGCATATATATATAAATGCACATATATGCCTACACATTCATATGAATACATCCGTGTATATGTGCACAGAGGCAAATTCATATCCATATGTGTACTCAGCGTGCAATTGTACACATATACATATATACATATATATACAACATACACATATACACGTATATGTGTATATATATATATGTGTATATGTATATATGTATATGTGTATGTTGTATATATATATATATATATATATATATATATATATATATATGTATATATGTATATGTGTACACGTTTACGTTGAGTACATATGTGGATATGTATTTGCCTCTGTGCACATATACATGTATGTATTCATATAAATGTGTAGGCATGTATGTGCATTTATATATATATATATATATATATATATATATGCATGTATGTATGTATATATATATATATATATATATATATATATATATATATATATATATACATGCGTGTGTTTTTTTTTGTAAAGTGAAGGAAATACGTTTACGTATTCAACAGACGCAGAATTGTCTGGATATGTTGGACTCAACAATGTTAATACCGTCTAAAACCTCCGCTTTCCCTAGCCATGTAACCCCCACGGAAACTGCCGTTAGGCATTACTTCGCGGGGAAGGATCTAGCAACTATTTTCCTTATTGTGGCTAAGATGTCATACATCTTTCATTCGCCCTTTTTCTCTCAATGAAACGTAGTGTTATGATGACTTCTGTAACATACGTACTACTGGCGTTCCAAGCATCTTCTGATGAAAGCATTGATTCAATTAGTGTTTCTGGTTGAATCCTTTGCTTTAAAATTCTTTTTAGTTTATTTCGCTGTGCACTGAAGCGCGGACACACAAAGATTACATGCTCTGCATCTCCATTAACTCCTTGGCATGCTGGGCATTCATGAGAATCATCGTGCTTAAATCGGTGAAGATAAGCCCGAAATCAACCGTGTCCAGACAGCATCTGCGTCAAGTAATAGTTGACCTCGCCATGTCTCCGGTTCAGCCAAACGTTGATCTTAGGTATAAGACGATGCGTCCATCTACCCTTTTCTGCGGCATTTCACTGTATTTGCCATCGTCTTATGGTGTTAAGACGTTCTTCGGTTCTGAGATCATCAGCGCTTAATGTCGTTGACCTCTTGCGTTGGTAAAGATTTTGTCTTGCCTCAGCTAAGACCCTAAGAGGCAGAGTCCCGGCATTGACACATACCGCTTCCTCAGATATTGTGCGGAATCCGCATACTACTCGTAAAGCACTCAAGCGGTATACAGGACCAATTTTCCTCCATGATTCTTGGAGCCCTAGTGCGTCTGCCCAAATAGGTATTCCATAAGTGAGCACTGACGCAACTACTGATGCAAGTGTAAGTCTCCTGCTCTGCTTTGGTCCGCCGATGTTAGGCATCAATCGTGGAACACCTCCGGTGATATTATATTCTTTTGGGCTGTTTATCGTGTCGTACTTCAAAACCCTATACGTAAAATAGCTTGCCACTATTTTACATATGTAACCCGGTACATTATTTTATTCAAGAGCTTGCATTATGCAGTCCCAATTTGCGCAGTTGAAAGCGTTCCTGATATCAAGTGTGGCCACAAGGCAGCACTCTTTTGTACCTTCCTTTCATCTTGTTCCTTCGATTGCTTTTTTGGCAGTATCGACAACTACCTTTATTGCGTCCAGGGTTGATCGTCCTTTCCGGAATCCATACTGGTTGTCCGTCAAAAGTGGGTCAACGACTGCCTCAATCCTTTGGTGAATTATTCGTTCCAATATCTTACCAGCCGTATCTAGCATGCAGAGCGGACGGTAAGATGACGGCTCTTCTGGCGGCTTATTTTTTTTGGAGAAGTACAAGCCGCTGTTGCTTCCACTTTCTGGGAAAAGTCCCTTCTTTCAGGCATGTGTTGTAAACGTCTAGAAATAACGACGGCGCAGCCTTAATAATGGTTTTCAGTGCAATGTTAGGAATACCATCTAATCCTGGCGCTTTATTATTTTCTATACGGTTACATGCCTCCATTAACTCATCTTCAGTGACTAGTGGGATGCCATCCAGTTTACTTGATGCCAACTAGTAGCGTTGCTGTGGAAACAGCGCAGTTACAACTTTCCGAAAAAAATGAGGACACGTGGGCGACTGCACTTGTTGCTTTTTTAGCAGTGTCATGACCACCTTGTAAGGCCTACCCCAAACGTCTTTGTCCACCTCACTGATGAGATCTTTCCAGCATCTTTGTTTACTTTCTTTGATGGCCCTATTCAATTCTCGACAAGATTTTTTGTACTCTGCGATTAGTTCCTCGCTGTGAAGTTGCTTATAGCCACGCTGTGCTATTCTTCTTTTTTGTGGCATTCTTTACGAAGGACACTGATGTTATCATTCCACCAACAGACGGCAGGTCTTAAATTTATGCCACCCTTTCGGGGCATACTGGCATCACAAGCCTGGGTCATTCTTTTTATCAGGGTTTTGGTCCTTTCTTCCGCGCATCCATTGTTGATCGGGTTAACGTCAAGAGCTACTTGCAATGCATCTCGGTCAAAAGATTTTGTTTTCCAACCAGCGCAGTTAACTTACTTGATAGGTCTTTCAAGATTCTGTTTGGACGATATTTCCCAAAGTATTGCATTGTGGTCGCTGGCGGCGTACATATCCAGTTACAGTTACCTCTGACGAGACTAGTGCTGACAAAAGTGAGGTCTATAATCGAGCTTGAGTCGCCTTTGGTGTAGGTCGGCGTATTGCCACTATTGAGCAGGACAACGTCTAGTTTACTAAAAGCTTATAGTATTGCTTTTCCTCATGCGTTTGTCTACTTGCTACCCCAGTCTACTGCCCAGGAGTTGAAGTCTCCAGCTATTGCAACTTACGATGTTGCTTAGCGTCCTCGGTCAGTCGATCCAAAAAGACAGTGAATTCCACAAATGAGAAGCTAGGTGGTGCTTAGCAGCTGTAGAAGTGGATGCCATCTGTTGTTGCTGATACAAATCCGACGCTGCGTTTGGTAATTGTGCCCTGGAAGGTGAGCTTGTTACTGGACCAAATAACAGCTTTAGTGATTGTGTCTGCTTTCCATAGTTTGCCAGTTAGATGCTTGTATGGCTCTGCTAGGATCACAAGATCAAGCTTCAGCTCTCGTACTGTCTGCATAAGCAGATCATGTGCTGCTTCACAATGATTTAAATTTAGCTGCAATTTCATGCTTTTTTATTTGGTGCCTTCTCGAGTGCCTCTTTATATACAGGACATCTGTAGGTTCCTGCATGGTGGGCAGCATGCTCTGCGCTTCGGTGTTCAGCGCATAGTGCACATTTCGCTAGTGCAAAAGTTGGAACGGATCATTTTACTTCTGCACTGAAATCCGTGATGCCCGAAAAGCCAACATTTGTAACACTTGGTTGGCCTATTTGTTGTTCTTATACAGTTTTCGGCAGTTTACCCAGCCAATTTTGCTGTTTCCTTCAAGTAATTTCTGCGCCGTGGCTGCTGGTAACGTTACTGTAGCAACCTGGGTGCCTCTGTAGGCTTTACGTAACTTGATTGACTCCGCCGGTGTTTCACTGGCTTCTCCAAGTGCATTTTTAGAGCAGTCTGAATGTCGGCCTTAGTTGTATCGTCATCAATGTCTCTGATTTCGATTATTTTTTGTGACCCTTTGCAAAACACTTTGGCGTCATCTTTAAGGTTGCTCGCGATTGCCTGTTGCAGTCCTTGGCCTTTATCTACACACTTTCTCGAGATTGTAAGCAACATATTTCCGTTCCTGGTCTTGTTAATATTATCTACAGTCGTTCGGACCTGCTCGTCAGGAATGTCCTGTTTTAGTGGACGTAGTATCTCGGAAAACTTTGCCTTCTCTGCTGGTCGAATAAGAACTACGTCTGGTTTGAGAAATGTTCGCGTTTTCTTCCTCTTCGGTTCCGGCCGGCGCTCTTTTGGCTGCTGCTTCACAAGCTGCTCTTTGGCTAGCCTTCTTTTTTCTTTTTTTGATTGAACCTTATGCCAATCAGTCACCTCGTTTTGTTTGGCTTTCTATTCTGCCACAATTTTTGGTGGACTTTATTTTAGGTTTTTCTTTTTCACGACATGGCCGTACGTCGGGTCTGGAGAGTTCCGGTCCTTTCTCTTTCCAGGGCTCAGATTTTTTTTTACTTCTTCAGCGACGAATTCATCGTCGACCTCGGCTCCGGTGTCTCTCGCTTCTTCAATTACCGCAACAGTTTGGCTGTTTTTCTTTGGCGTGGGATGCCGTAGGTTCTCCAACCATCGATTATCGAGGTCGAGAAAGCGCGTCATGGTAGTTGCAACACTACTCGTTTTAGTCTCAATCTCCATATGAATGTTGGATTTCGATTTAATCATCTTGTGGAGGTCAGTTAGAAGAGTTTCGAGGCGTTTCAGTGCCTCCATCCTTTGATTTTCCACGCTCTTTTTTATACTCCCAGTAACATTTCTTGACAGCGAAGTCATGGGGTTTACTACGCTGTCCAAACTGTCTCATGATGACGACGACTTTGGGCCCGTTCGCAAACCCTCGGCTGCCGGTACTGAGGTATCCCTCCTTTGTACTGTAAACGATTCTACTTTATTGTTCTCCATATTCATTGCCGTTCTTCCGCTTTGCATGGTCAGGTGGAGTGACCAACCCTACCTACATGTTGGGGAGTTTTGTACACGGGAGCTATTTTATTTCACTCCTACGCTATGTTCCTAACCGCTAAGCAGGCCAAGAACAGGGAGGGCTTTCTCCAATCCACACTTGGAGACGCAGCAGTCCACACGTAGCAGTTTCTCCTCAGCCCCGAGATGTGTATATATGTATGTACATATATATGTATGTATATATGTATATTTATCTTATATATAAAATTCTTCTGTAACAATGTAAGTTTCATTAATCCTCCTAAACTATAATTCGGATTTTCATGAATCTTCCTGAAGTTTGTTCGGGAAATTTTCTAGAATGTTTTGATTCACAGAAATATAGTTAGATTGTAGAAATAAATGGAAAAAAATACAAAAAACCGCTTATCATTGTTTGACCTTTAAAATATTTAAGGCATGGTTTGACATTAAAAACAAATGACAATTGTCATTTGCCAAACATTTCTATTCACTTATAGGCTAAGGCAATATTAAAATATAATAAATTCATGATTATAAATAAGGAAAATGTAATGTCTACATTATTATTGCCGAAAAGCAGCTGAGATGTGCCAAAAATTAAATTAATATAATATGCAAATAATATAACATGCGTTTGACAAGTGATGATGCAGTCTGCGCATGCGTCTGACGTGCGCGTGGTTTGCTTTTGCTTGCAATAATTTTGTCTGCGCACTTTGCGAACAGATTCGCCGTACGAATTCGTGCAAAGGAGACGAGCCATAAGTGATTGCGCGCAATAATATTCAATTTGCAGTCGTTTTGCCTTACTATACTAAGTTACAATACAAAAAAAAAAATTTAGAAGTTTCATTGTGTCAAAAATTCATATGTTTGTCATTGGGTACGGAATATTTACTCAATGGAGCGCTTTCGGTCTGAACTTTTTTTTACTGTTTTCCATTTCGTTTGGAATTTTGGAACTAGGTTTATCTTACTCTTCAGAAGTGAAAACAATTTAGACTCCTTTACCACTTCTCGGCTGGATGACCTTTCTTTTCAGTGGTGTAATTTTACATTTTTCAAAATAACATTGGGTATCGATAAAAGAACTAATTATAAGAGAAAAATGTTTAATAATGTTTTTCAAAAAAGAAAATACTTTACAAGTTACTGGCTACTGAAAATTTGTTTCTTTTTTGCGTTTTTCATCGTTTTTTGCTAATATCTTCAAAAATATACATTTTAACGAAAATCATGTAATGAACAAAATTATATCAATAAAAATCCTAATAAATCGCTATTTTACAGTGTTCTAGGAACAATATTAAGTTAATTATGAAAATGGGTTTTTATAGTTCTCATAATAAGCTTCAAAAAAGTACTTCTGCGTGTAAATTGAGTGAGCTATCATGCAATTAAAAGACGCATACAATGTTTTTTTTTTCATTTAAATCAAATAGTTTATGAGTGCCATTACCACCAAAATTAAAAATAATCGTTTTCCATCTAGAATTAACTTGGTTTGAGAGATCTTGATGGATTCTAGAAAATACCATAACATTAGTATAATCGATTTTCAAAAAACTCATGATTTCATAAAAAATCCATTTAATAAAACAACCAATTTCTCATTATAATATCTCTGAAAGAATACGTATAAAAGTATATATATGAAAATTCAAGGTATTTTTCAGACTAATTATTGGTTTTTATTATTTTTTTGTTACACAAATATTGATAGAGATAGAATTGTTTAGAGTGCGCGGCTGTCCAACCGGAGTGTCTTTCGAGCCCTTTAACTCTTCGCCGTTTCAAAATAAGAGAAGTTACGGTAAAATTCATGATAAAGAAAGTTGTAGCTCATTTAATCACCTTTAAAATAGTATATTACAAGTTATGATAAAATCAGAATTAAAAGAGTTATAATCCAATTAATGCGGGGGGTGGTGACGAATTTGCAAATTGTTTTCACTTCTAAACTTTAGATTAAGATTAGCTGGGCATACGCTTTTTTC